TTACTCCTGCTGGACTTATCACCTTGGTGTCCCTACTGTTGTTACTGCTCTCCAGAAGGGGATGTGTGTGTTTGTGTGGTACTGGCAGCTGTGAGAGAGGAAGCCACAATGAGCTCAGTATGAGAAGAGTCCACGTGTTCCAGTGACCTGATCCCAACCCATCTTCTGAGTTCCCTCATTCGCACACTCATGCCTTTCTCTTTAACCTCACACTCTCCTCTGGTTCTTCCCCTCCCTATGCTCACATGAATTAGACACTCCTGTCTTAACTGCCCCACCCCACCCCAGAAAAACACACCCTTAACGTCATTTGTCTGTCCAGCTACTACCTCATCTCCCCTTTATGTCTAAGCTCATTGAACACACTGTCAACAATCACTGTCTGGAGCTCCTCTCCTCCAATCTGTCTTCTTGGGACTCCACTGAATGACTCTTACCAAAGTTTTTAATGACTGGAGCTGGTCGGAAATTGTTTTTCTGTGGAAAATTTCAGTGAAAAACAAATAATCCCCCGCCCTGCTTTCAATGAAATTGTTCACAGAAATTTGAGTCTTTCTGGCCCAAAACTAGAAAGTCAAAAGATTTCAGCTGAAAACCAAAAAATTCCTCTGCTGGAAACTTTTTCAGCAAAAAGCTGAACCTGTTTGCAGAAAGCAGACTATTGTCACAAAAGTTATTTGAAAACCCAGTTTTCCACTGAAAGCAGTTTTGACAGAAAACTTTCCTACTAATGATCTCTGCCTGGCCAAAGCTCAGAACCAGTATTCCATCCTCCTCCTCAACCTGTCAGCTGCTCGTGACTGCACTGACTATGCTTTTCTTCTTTATATCTTGTTGTCCTCTTACCTTAATCACTCCTTCAGCATCGTCCTCCTCCACATCTCTTCTCCAATTTTCTGTGGGGGTTCCACAGTGCTCTGGTCTTCGTTCCTTTTTCTTCTCCCTCTGCTCCTTGTCTCTGCACAATCTCATTCACAAACACTAATTCAACTGCCATCTCAATGCTGATAACTCACAAATCTACCTCTTCTTCAGACTGGTCCTCCTGTGCAAACTGGAATCTTGACCTGTCTCTCTGACGTCTCCTTGTGTCTGTCCAGCTGGCAGCTTAAGATCAACATGGCTAAATTAGAGTTCCCAGTCTTCCCTCCTCCTATCAGAGACCTTTGGCAAGAAGTCAGGCACCTTAACTGAAATGTCTAACGTGAAAAGACACATCCATCACCACCAGGTCTCAAAGTGTAACTATTCGAGCCAGTCAGAAAAGGGGTTTAAAACTTTTGTCAAAAAAACAGGAAAACTGTGGCAGGAGGTTGGCTTTCTGATGAAAATCAATTTTTTTTTTTTTTAGGAAAGTTGAGACTTTCTATGGGACAAAAGGTTTTGTGGAAAATCTAATATTCTGTCCAAAAAAATGTTTTGATGGAAAACTTTTGTCCAGTCCTACTAATCATTACCTAGGTGCAGCATGCAGAAGGCACAAAGGCCAGAGTTTTGAAAGGTTCTTGGCATTGACAGGTGGGGCCAGATTTTTCAGAATTGTCCACATGTTGGTTATTGAGCTCCTCTATAAATTGGCCTCTATCGCTATGTCTACACTGCAAGCAGGGGTGTAATTTGCAGCTCATGTAGACATACCTGTGCTAGCCTTAATTTAGCTAGCTCAGGTACCAGTTACAGTGAGGATGCAGCAGCGTGGGCTGTATAAGTCCCCTCCACCCCACCCCTGCAGTCCCCTTCAGGTTTGTACTGGCATTCCTAGACCATGTTGAAGCCAGCACCACTCTGTCTTCCGCACTATGGTTCAAAAGCTAGCTAGATGAAAGCTAACGCAGGTATGCTTATCCAGCCTACAGATTATACCTCCAGTTGCAGTGTGATGTAGCCCCCCCCCCTCCTTTTTTTTTAAAGGTCCCTAAATGAGAGTTGAACTCTTCTGAAAATTTGGCCCCACTTGTGAGTGCTGAGCACTGGAAAATCAAGCCCTGAACTCTTCTGGAAGCTTGATTTTGTGATGAAAGCAGGAGAAGATGCGGGGTAGGGTATGTCTAACAGGGAGGTTTGGATGGAGCAAGGGAGTAGGATGAAATGAGCGTAGACATAACAGCACTGTGCAGTGGCCAGAGGGGAGTGGGCAGGTCATTCTCAAGACCCCAGTCCTGCTGCCGTAGAAGTCAGTGACAAAATTCCCCTTGACTTCAGTGGGGCACCAACAAGCCCTCCAAAGAGATGGTCTCTCCAAGGTAGGGTTAAGGCCCATGGCAGGGAACCGCAGGTACAGAAATTTTGTGCTGTGGCTGCTTGTCGTGTGCTTGCACAGTGAATAGAGAGAGCCTTTCACCCTTCCTGGCTGCCAGTCCAGCACCTTTCTCTAGGACTAAATTCACATCAGAAGTAGTACAGAGCCTGCTTGTACTCTTCCCAACCAAAGCCCTACTCCTAATTATTAAACGCCTCATCAGGGAGGCTTTGATACTGGGAATTAACTTGAAAGGGATTTAATAACCAAGGGCCATACACATCCCTCAGCCCTCAGCAGAGCTCCTCATTGAAGTGTTTCCCTCTATGAGCATCTCCTGAATTTTGAGCAGATTTCTCCAGTAGCCATGGCAACAGCCTAAATCTCATTCCCTTTTTGTGATTTAGGCAAGAGTTATTTAAAATCTCTTAAATAAATGATGCTAAAATACTCTGAGTTTTGCGAGCAGCATTGGGCAGCTCACCATGTGGGTTAATTTAATCACTCTACAGTTCCCACTAAGTACATAATTCAAGATCTTCATTTTAGATAAAAGTCCTTGAAATCTCTGAAGGGTGTAAAGAAGAGAGAGGAATTGTCTTGGCACAAATCCTCTGAGTGAATCGTTTTTGGGGTGGGGAAAGTGGATTCTCTTTTGTCAAAAAACCAAAAACGTTGAAACCAAAACAAACGGTTTAAAACCTGTGTAAGACTTCCAATCTTGCAGCTCTCAGAGCTCATGGCAGTCAGGGGCAGCCATTCCAGAGACTTGAGGGCCCTGCTCTGCTATGTTAAGAATTGTGACTTTCCTTCCCAAGTTGGGTCTCTTATCTTAGGGGCAGGGATTGCTGTGTAGGTAATGTGGTGGTGGCAAATGTCTTATGTCACTCAGTGGTCCCGTCTAGCCTTCCTTCACCAGAAGGGAAGTGACAGTGATGGGGGGGTCACTGAGTGTGAGAGAGAGAGAGAGACCGCTTTCTGGGAAACCTCTTCTGTGGCAGGGGTGCTGGAACAATTTTTATAAGGGGGGTGCTGATGATCAAGCCAGTCAGTGCGGCAGCATCCCTGGTGCCTCTAGTTCCAGCAGCGCTGCTCTGCGGAGTAAATATGAATGCCTGTCAGGGGTGCAGAGTCAGGAGGGTCATTCCTGGGGCCTGTGGTTAGTGATCTCATAGAACAGGGAAAAAGGGCTTCCTTATTTCACTTGTTTGGTTTCAAAGCCAATCACAGCACCAAGGTGTTATTGTTTGTATGCAGGTCCTACAGTATAGTGTAGTGATAATTATTTGTTTTTCCCCTCCTTCCCAAAAATTGCCCCTGTGTTGCTGTGATCACTTATGAAAGGAAAAACCCAGAGGGCCTAATATCATAGGGGGACTCCCGCTGCTTATCAACTTGCAGGTCGTGCAAGGTATAGCTTTTCAAATGAGTGGGGGCTTGAGGTTGAAGCAAGTTGGCTGTCGCCCTTTAGGGGAGGTTGCACTGCTCCATAGCTTTGCAACTGCAGCCTTGTCATTCACAGAGGCAGAGAAGCAGTGCTCAGTCATGCCCAAACTGCTTCCTCATATGGGGAGCGAGGGATGTGGGGGGAGAGAGAAATGTTTTTAGTTCTTGCCCTGAATCACTGGCAAAAATGAAATGATTGCTTTTGCAGGGAGAAAGCACCATTTCACCAAAGGCAAACTTCCATCTGGGGTTCAGTAATGAGAATTCACAATTTTGCACATTCATTAACCGGATGTCCAGCCCCATGTATCTCTGTGGAGGGGGGCGCTCCCACCTCAGTACTGTCAGGCTGTCACTTTTATGAGAGGCAAATCCTGCCTCTCTCCCTCTCTCGCTCTCTCTCTGTTTCTGTCTCTCTGTCTGTTTCTAGTAGGGCTGAATTCTGTGCAAACATTTACTTGTCTGAACTACCTTGTCTGCCTTCACAGGTGTAAATAAATATCACAAGAACACAGCACATCCCTCGAATGTCTGAACTGGCAGGACGCTGGGGTGTGACTGGTTGAATAGAAGAGCTTGCAGTGTAAAGCAATGTCTATGTTTCCATGTGTTCTGCTCCTCCTGCAGAACAGTTCTATTTTTCATAACATATTTGTATCAAGGGAAGACAGGAAGCATTTGATATTTTGCTGTATTGATTTATCTGGACAGAAATTGTCTTTAGTGCTTTACTTCTCCCCATGCAGTATGATCGTACGGCCAATCTGGAGGGGAATATTATGTTTTGGGTTAGGGAGGGTTGCACAAGAAGAAATAGTGGAGACCAGCAGGGTGCGGGGGAATGTGGGGGGTTTACAAGTGGAGAATCCATGGTTCCCTTTCCTCTGTTTATACTCAAAAAGAAAAGGAGTACTTGTGGCACCTTAGAGACTAACCAATTTATTTGAGCATGAGCTTTCGTGAGCTACAGCTCACTTCATCGGATGCATACCGTGGAAACTGCAGCAGACTTTATATATACACAGAGAATATGAAACAATAGTTTCCACGGTATGCATCCGATGAAGTGAGCTGTAGCTCACGAAAGCTCATGCTCAAATAAATTGGTTAGTCTCTAAGGTGCCACAAGTACTCCTTTTCTTTTTGCGAATACAGACTAACACGGCTGTTACTCTGAAATCTGTTTATACTGGAGGCTTTTGACTAAGAGAGTGACAAAAACTGGGTGGTTTGCCCTCCCCTTTCTCAGTGAGAGGCGTAAGGGAAAAGCCTGCCGGTGGAGGCAGAAATCTCTGACATCCAAGCCTGCCCATCAGTTGTTTTACTAAATTATTCATCCTGCTCCTGTGATAATATAGTTATAAGGAGGAGCCTAATTACATTTACTAGCTGGCTTCAGCCAATAGGGTGATAAGGATCCAGGGCTATGGGATGACGACGAATCCTGCCAGTGTGCTGTGAATGTGAGGCAGAAGAAGGGACTTGCAGTTTGTGTGCAGGAGGGGAAGAGAACAAGTCAAGGGCCTCTGGATTAGCAGACTGAGGAAAGGTAAGGAAGTGAGTGGAAATGGGATTCACCCGTATAATACAGAGCCTGTCTGTGAGCTTTTTTAAAAAACTATAGCCTATGTGGACTATTTTCCTGGGGAGTTTGGGGGAGGAAGGGATTGTGTGTATGTGTGTACACACTCACGCAAGACATGTATTGGTTGTCTTTGTCTATATGTACACATTGCATATGCGTTCATGTATAATATATACACACCCACACACAATGTCCCTGTGCATGTATTTGGAGGTGCTTGTGTTATATATGAATGCAGCAGTGATCTATAAAGTGTGTATATTATAAATGTAATTAGAAAAGGTGAGATACAGAAACTGCCAGATGAGCTAAAGAAATCTGGATAAACCTAGTAGTGTACAAAGCTGATTTGAGGAAAATGGGACGGCACGGATTGCCAGTCAGATATTTGAAATTAAACGGAGCAGGGATGAGACAACTGGTGTGTATTAATCTATGAAACCTGCAATGAGATGTGGGAATGAGAAAGCAAATTAGAACATTTGTCACAGCAGGTGAAGATAAACGGCGAACAGTCTGTAACTGGATTTGCTAACATGGGAAAGAAAGTGTGAATGACTAGGAAAGGCAATTATTTCTATCCGCTGCTGATCTACCTGTACCTATAGGGTGGGAGAGGAGAGAAATCAGGAGAGCCTAGATGGCTGATTACAAAGTATACACTGATTTGACCATCTCATAAACCTGTCACCTAAATAACATTCTACTGAAGTGTATCCACAGACTTTAATTCTCTCTTCTAATCACATGGGATGGGGTGGGCAGCTGTCAGAGAGGGTGAGACTTTGAACTGGAACCCACAGATTCATGTTGTTTGGAATAGCAGGAGTATGCAAATTAACACAGGAACTTAGCATCAGCACCACCTTTATGTACTGTCCCCTTTTTCCTGTTATCAGGAAACTACCTAGGTCGGGTGGTAATAGTTCTGTCAAGAATGGGTTCCTTTAGGATGACCGTCACTAGGTAATGTAGTGCTAAGACATAGAGGGGTGTTTGTGATGATGATACTAAGATGCCTATTTTGTAACAGGCAACATCCTTTCAACTAGTTAACAGAGGATTGTCCCACTGTCTAAAGCCTAAATCCATTTCATTTAATGAGGTAGTCCTATATCCCAAAATATGGAACCTAAGGGCTTATCTCTCATTCTGTTTTTATTCCCCCACTTCCCCTTCTCTTATTGGGCTCCACAAGGAAAGTATTTTTCCTCCCCTGCTCTCTGTAAAGTTGCAGGCCAGATAGAACAATATATCTCACTGACCATGTTTTACATCAATTGGAACTTTATAGACCCTTCAAATGAGTTCCAGGGAAAACAGAATCTCTGCTCAGAGAGCATCAGACACTGACTCTGGGGGACATGAAGTCTCCCTACAAAGAGAGCAGGAAGACAGACATAAAAGGAGACATGTATGGAATGACTGCCTTGGAACCTGGATTGATCACACTGGTTCAGTTAAAGTAAGAACTGACCTGATTCCTTGGCATTCCCTGACACCAAACCTTTTATAAGTTTAGTTCATTCGCCTCCACTCCCAGATATCTCCCCCTCTCCTGGCTTCCTCTCGGGGCCAGGAGATGGGGGAGGTCCCAACATGGCTGATATTCCATCCATAATACACCCTTTCCCCTGCTTATCTTTACATTATTCTTGTAATATGGCCTGGCTGTTCTAGAAGTCTCTGGTGTGATCTGATATTGGGGGGACAATCTTGAGTCTAATTCTCCACTGCCTTACAGCATTTACACCTGTGTACCCTGAGAACCAAAGTGGTTGTAAAACCACTCCCATGCTGATCTGGGAGCACCCACTTTGCACAGGAGTAAATGACTTCACGTTAGATGGGACAATGTTGAATCAGGCCCCTTGTGTGATCTGAGGCACCCTGCACTGTGTTCAATGTTTGTATTCAGTGACGCAGGACCAGCTAAGAAACTGCCGAAAATAATATGCTATAGCCCCTATTTAGGACCGAATAGCACCGTCTTCACTTCATCTGAAAAAGCTAGGCTGACTCAAGTGGGTGTTTAACGTATGGGGTATTTTTGTCACTAGCTGTTCTCTTGCATGTGCACTCTGCTCCTTTTTTGTGATCCTAAGCAGAACAAAGCCACAATTGTATCTGAGTTTGAGTCCAACTTTCAAAACACCCACAACAGCCAAGTGAGCTGAGATTGAAGCAAAAGAAGTTTTGTCCATCCCTAAATAAAACCCGCTTCAACTTGGGGACGAGAGATGCCACTGCTACAGACTGAATAGGAATAATTGAGTCTCCTATATATTGACATAATGAGATCGTCAGAGCCTTGATGCAAAGAGAGCTCACAGTTTAAAAAGCTACCTAGGCAGTTCATCCTTGTGTTTAAAAGGAGGCTCGCTCTGCTTATTGTTGCTGGACTGTTGCGTGCTGCTCATAGGGAATTCAGCACATAGGGAATTTAGCGAGGGGGTGAGGGAAGTGTTCTTGGTGACACCACGGCAGTTGCAGGCTGGGATTCAGTTGCAGCATTTATCCCTGGTTGGGTGAATACATTGTTTGCTTCTGCCTCGGTGTTAGCAGTGTGGTTCAGAGGTGGGCAAAATGCCAGATTCTTCCCAGGGAAGCTAATGTCATTGTCAATTCATTGGTGGCAGAGACCATGCTTTGAAATCTGAGGTCACTCTCCCTGTTAATTGCGGAGATGATTAATTCATGCAGTGATATCATTTTCCTGGGCTGAGGTTATGAATTGTAATAATGAGGGGCATGGAGGGATACAAGCCTTTTGCTCATTTTAATGTTGTTAACATTATTACTGTGCCAGCTACTGCCTCCTCCAAACGGTGGCCTCCTGTCCCTTTGGTGGTACTGGCCTTCTTGTTAACTCTCCCCCTTGCCAAAATGGGCTCTGGTGTAATGCAGGCCAGATGCACCCTGGGGGACTGCAGTTTGAATGTGGATGATGAGTGAGGGGCCCTTATCTGGCCACAGTAGTTATGGGAACAATAAATTCTAATCCGTATTTCAGATTATATGTGAAACAGAGTCTCTATCCACTGGGTACTTTCCCTTAATCTTGGTGTCCAGGACAAATTGTGTTCTGCCTCCCTAAAATTCCCCTTGCACTTCCATCTGGATTAAATAATTCTCCTCCTCCTTTAAAAAAAAAAAAGTGAAAAGTGGTCGTGTTGCACAATGGCCGCTGCATTCTGGCCACTGCATTCCACACCAGAGGTGGCTGCATTTCAGAGGCTGGTGAATGACCAATGTTTACTCCATCTGTAATCCTTCAGAAGTAAAGGTGCTGTAAAAAGGTCAGTTGTTGATATAGAAGCCTCGTAAGGGTGTGATCTGTGTCTGAGGTAATAACTATATCCTAGGCTGAATATCTCTTTCTCTCTGCTATTGTCCTAGTATCTAAGCAAATAAACTCAGCAACTGAAAGCCAAGGTGATTTTAGTAAATAAACTCTTTTGGGTTTTGAGCTGTGGAGTTTGTTAGCCCAGGGAATGATTAGTAGCCAATAAACTGGAGTTATCTTGAAGTTATTGCAATACTGACATTCTTAATTGAAACTGTAAATAAAAGTGAAGAGAAACAATACAGAGGGCTGTCAAACTGCTCCTCCTTGCTCACTCCACATTTTTCCTGCTCCCCTCTGCTATCTCCTTTTTCACTGACATCCCTCCCCAATGGTCCGCAAGCCTCTTGTCTTATGTTTTCAAAACTGAATTGGTGGGGCGGGGGTGGGATTCCAATTTAAAGACAAATGTTGGGGCAAAATGGGTTGCTTTCCATTTAAGCAGTGTGGCAGCTTGGCTTTCTCTTCATCCTAGATTACCCTTCCTCACCACCTGCCCTTGATGTTAAAGTTGCCATTTTCCTGCTTTGCTTTATGGGAGTGGCATTTTTGTTGCTGACAAACAATTAGAAAACTCTGATTGCCATGACTCTTCTTTGGCAATTGGCTTCTTACTCAATCAGGATAGAGGTTTGCATATTTACAATACAGTTATCAAGGAATAACCATGCGGAGATTACGCAGATCCCTCCACTGTGTCTATTAATGACTGGCAGCCAGTTTGCAGAGGATTGCATATTATATAGTTAGTGAGAAATAACCACACAATGATTGTGCAACTCAGACGCCTATAACCAGAGCACAATATAACACTGCTACTATTAATAACAGATTGACAATGGCCACGAGGAGGGTGAAATATCCCCAGAAGCTGTGCTTGTAATTTAAACCCTGCTTAAAGGGAACAAACAAGAGGGTGGCCCTTGTAAATGACGTATTGCTGTGAGGTGATCTGCAGGCTTGTGTCCCAAATAAACTGCTCTGCATACGCCTGCTGATAAGGGCTAGATTCTCCATTGCTGAGAGTGAGAAGAGGGGGTTGAGGGAGGCTTTCCACTTCCTAAGGTCCTCTCTAATCTGGCTGTGGGATGCTTTGGGTGTAGATGTGCTGAAACAAAGGCAGCAAGGATAGGTAACATGGAGTCCCACTTCTCCTGGAAAGTGGGAGTGTTGCCTTGAAATGAACTCTGAAGGCAATGGCCTGTTGTTTAACAGGATTGTTTTATTTTCACCGGTAACTCTTATTATTTCTCTGTTCCACTGCCTGGTTTCATTGACTAGGCCTTTTCCCTTAGCAGAGTCCTCCTTAGAAGGTGCTCAGATACTACAGTGCTGGGGGCCGTCTGAGTGCCCAGCTCAGTTTGGAATCAATTGACTGACTGTACATTAAGTGCTGCAGTGAACAGAGGAAGCATTTACTTTATTTTTAAATGTGTCTACCAAAGCTCTTGGTTTGTATCCCTTCTCTAGGGTTGTTTAAAGTATCTGGCTAAGGGTACTGAGAGAGACTCTTAAAAATGTCACTTCTGAAAGTTATCCAGCTATTTTAAGTACCTAGGATCCCCCCATCACCACAGTATCTGAGTGCCTCACACTCTTTCATGTGTTTATTCTGAAA